AAAAACCCTCAAAAAATAATAAAAAATCAAAAAAAAACAAAAAAAACAAAAAACAAACAAAGAATCAAACAAAAACAAAAAAACGAAAACAAAAACACTCCAAAAAAACCACAAAAAAAACAAAACCAAAAAAACCAAAAACAACAAAAAAACCCACAAAAAAACCCAAAAAAAACCCCAACAAACCAAAACAAAAACAAACAAACCAACCAAAAAAAACAAACAAAAAACCAAAGTATATTTAAAAAAACAAAAAAAGCGCCAAAAAACCACAACAACAACAAAATCCAAAAAAAACAAAAAAAAACCAAAAAAAACAAAAATAAACAAAAACAAACAAACAGACAAAAAAAGACCAAAAACAAAAACAAAACAAAACAAAACACAAAAAAATCAAAAACAAACAAACAAAAAACACCAAAACCCTACAAAAAACAACAAAAAAACCCAAACCAACAAACAAACAAAAACAAAGAAACAAAAACAAAAAAAACAAAGAAAAAACAAAGAAAACAAGAAGAAAACAAAACAAAAAAACCAACAAACAAAATAAAAAAAAACAAAAAAAAAAAAAAAAAAAAAAAAAACCCCACAAAACCCACAAAATAAACCCAAAAAAACACCCCAAAAAAACCAACAAAAAACAAACAAACGAACAAAAAAACCCAAAAAACTAAAAAAAAATACAAACAATTGGTATAAATTTTCCATTTTCATTAAAAAAAAAAAGGTGTTTCCTGGGAGCCAGATTTGCTGGCTGCTATTAGCATTGGAGCACTAAATTTAGAGCCACTGAACTGCAGGGATATATTGCTCAGGGCAGTAGTGTTGCCCCCTGGCCCAAGACAGACCTGCCCCTCACATGAGCTGCGGCTCATTGGGTTATGAACCCCCCTATCCTGTAACAGTTAACAGCATTTCATTATGTACCCTTAATGTTTCATTGGCACTGTCTTTTGTATTTAAGGTCAGTATTTTCTATTTAAGGCATTCTTAAAATATAAACAAAAATGCAGTTATTAGAACAATACCTTGAAAATCCTTAGTAATCTAATAGAAATATAACTGTGTGGGGAAAATAAAACCCGATTTAACATTACAGTTAAAACATTACCATAACAATAAGGGTCAGGATCTAAGATATCTGCTGGGCAATTAGAAGTTTGGCTGCATTAACTAAATTTTCCAGCTGGTTATAAGACCATAAATCCTAAGTTGTGATTTCTTCTTTTCCACGGGAAATGTTTTTGGTTGATTTTCAATACAAAGAGTAAAACAAAAAAATTGTCTGAAGACTTTGTCCACCACATTGCTTTGTGGTTTTGATTTCTCATGGGTTGTAACATAAGGTAAGCATTAAACTGCCTCACTTTGTTTGAGATGGCTGTGTAGCTAAGGATGAAAATCTGTCATGTTTGCCAAGGGATTATACAGTTGCATACGGTCTTAATAAATTTTTGCTACATTTTAATAACTGTTTGGAATCCTCAAAAAAATCAGGTATCTTATTAACTAAATTGCAAGTTAAGACCTAAGCCCTGATATATTTTACATCTGAATGTACAAACTGATAATAAATGACAAATTTCTCATCCTAGAGTTACCAGTAATTGTATATGTACAGTCTGGTTGTACTGTACAGAATTTTGTGTGGAAGAGCTAAAAATATAGTCTCTTGTTGAGTGGTAGAGATTTTCCTGTCACTGCCAGCTAGTTAGTAAAGCCATTGGTGAATCGCAGGTGTAGCAGAACACTAAAAAATTCCCTGAGTAACAGAAATGGGAGAGATTAAAAACACAACAGACAGTAAAAGTAAGTAAAATAAAAATTTGGCTTATACCTTATTTGGAGTATGATTTGTGACATTTTGTTTTTAATTTAAAAAAACTAAACAATCAAAACACCAGAAAGTCTGTCCAGAAGAACAAACTTAATAATACTTACAAAAATTTTTAAACGGTAGGGTATATTCATAGCAAAATAAAGATAAATGAAGAGGTTGGAGTTTTGTAAACTAAGGAGACAAGTCCATCAAAACAGAACTGGGAATTAGTCAATAGTTCTAAACAGAAAATATTAGAAACTTTTTACAACAATTATTGAGAAATCAATTCAACTGGTTGGAGAAGAAAAATGAAAAAGATGAATGTCCGTAAAAAGTTCCTTGCTCTGCAAATAATTACACATAGCCCAGCTTTAAGCAGGACAATATTCAGCTGGTTGAAAGTTCAACAAGTGCTTAACTATTGGTCAAATCTGGAGTAAAATAGCAAAAATAAATTAATAAGGGACTACTTACACAATCAAAATATATTCAAAGAACTAATAAAAGGAATGGAAGAAACCAGCTTGGAAGCATTTCTTGCATTTGGACATCAGGACGTGGTTATCAAAAAGTCTATTTTTTTTAGTATCGTCCCCCTGTTTTGTCTCCTGGATGCATGATGGGTTCAGGCCGCAGCCCTTCAGGCAGGTGACCTATCTTCTCACTTGCAAGGCAACAAATGTAATTTAGGCTGCTGTGTAAATAACAGCTGAAGGATTACCCAGTAGAGAAAAAGATAAATAAGTTGATGGTGGTTTCCTCAGATTCACAGGGAAATTAAGCTATTTCAAATAGAAAAATCTTCGGTATTGAACTGTCTACGGAAGACTGTTATTATTATTATTAAAATTAGTAAACATTTCTCTTTCACTTTTTTGTTCTACCATATTTACATATTTTTTCTGTTCTTTCTTTTTTTTTTTTTTAAAGGAAAAAAACTCTAGTCTGCTGCCGTATGGCACATAGACCTCAATCACTAACAGAGGGCATTCACACAGCTTTGGTAGGGTGTGTGACAATCGATTTACAGAAAGTACTGCACTTAAATACCATTTCAAGGAGGGACAAAGTTCACATCACAGTTACAGTGTCTCTTTTTCCTTACCTTCCTTTCAAGCCACTGGCTTAGTTTCTCATGTGTCTCTTGTTTTTTTATCACTTCTTCTGCTATCACAGGACATTCTGAATAGAGATGAGAATAAACTATTTTTAGATAGTAAGCAGTTCTGTGCAAGAACTCTGTTATTTCATGTTGCAGGGTTTCATGCAGTCTTTTGGCTTTTGATTTATTTGATCTCACACACCGAGTTTGGCTTTGAAATTTACGTTCAGATAAATTCAAAAATTCAAAGCAAAATTCGTCTGAAAGTGCCAATACCCTCTTGCCATTGCAGACAGGTCACATGAAAGAGGTTGGTGTAACTGATTTCAGTATTTGAACAGAAAAACATAGTCTAGAGCTGGTTCACTACAAAATTTCACCAAGTGTTACCTTAGTCTAAAGTAGAATTTGAGGGTTTGGCCCCAGGACATATTGACAATTGGACTTCAGAGACAATGTGTAATATTTTTTGCTTACTTTAAAACTTACTGAATTTTATAATGGAAATCCTACATAGTTTAATTTTTTTTAATTAAGTGAAACACATCAAAGTTTGCACTTTTTAAGGTTAAGCATATACTAAGCAGCACACTTGGTCTTGAACTACAACCTGGCCTTGAACACTTCCAGGGATGGGACATCCACAACTTTTCCAGGCAACGTGTTCCAGTGCCTCACCATAGTCACAGTAACAAATTTCTTCCTAATATCTAAACTAAATCTCTTTCAGTTTATTCGAGGAATGATGAAAATGTTATCCTTGGGGAATCCTGAAGATTTCCTATGTGGAAACCTTCCCTTTCCCCTTGTTGTTCTCTCCTTATTTTGTCAGATCTATTGTTATATTTTGTCTTCAATCTGTATGCTTTTAAAGAAAGGACCAGATTTTTGCTAGTTTATCTGTTCAGCGTAACGCAACTGATGTGAAGGCAGCCTTTAGCTTTTACACCATAACACGAACAACAGAAATACGTGGTGGGGCTGGACCCATTGAATGTGCCACATTCAGAAGGAAAGTAGTCAAAACTAAAAAGAATTTTCCATTTCCCTCTAGAGTTTTGCACTTACCTAAGATGTGGGAGAACTTGTCTCTCTTTCTTCTGTAGCTGGCATTTCCAGTTGTTGTTCCTGACACCGCATTAAATTCAAACTCTGTCCATCACTATTCAGCCCTAAGGAAAAACCTGAAACAGCAAAATTACTCTGCTTGATTTCTTTAAGCTACATTTTTAACTCAGTGCCACATTTCCCTTCCAGACACCACAATTACTCTTTGTCCTCTCGTAAAGTACTTATGGATTCTTTTCATGCATGATTGCAAGTGGGTCAGCTCCATCTAGTCTAACGCCTTTCCATGTCTTCTGCAGTGCTGCAGCTCTTGTTTTGCTCTTCCCCATGCTGTATGCTGTCTCCTCAGACCTGTAGCAACTAAATGCATCCTACTTTGCCAGCTGTTTTGAACACTGACAACTGCACATGCTCTGAATCGTCCTGCACAAATTCAGTGGCAGACTGATGCCATGGGTCTCAAGTGCTTCTGGAATTTACTGTTGGCTCCAGGGATGTGTTTCTACATGTAAGTCTGAGTATGCTGTCACAGTAGGTCACTCATTCAGTACAGAGTACGGTGAATAACGGCAGCAGTTATTAAGTATAGTTTTTATAGTAACCTCCATTTACCAGGTCAGGGCACCAACAAATGAATGAAAATAACAGTTACAGAATAAATGGAGGTTTTTTGAAAGGTTGAGCTAATGCTCACCCCAGCTTTCTTCTTTACAGTAGATACTGTCATTTAAGAGCATAATCCAATTTTACTTTGGAAGGATGCTATTTCTCCTTTCTGTTTCTGACAAGAAATGTTCTCTAGCTGCTGCACAGCAAACTACAGCATGGTACATGGTGACTCTCATCCACTCAAGCCTGTACAAATTTTCTGCAAATTAGAGGAAATTCTTCTAGGATAAGGATTGATATTATTACACTTTTTCATAGAAAACATTAAGTTTACAGAGAAAATTCTATGCATTTGAGAAGTCAAAACTTCAAGACAATGCCTATAACCACTCAGTCTTCAGAAAGAAAAAGCCACAATCATGCATACTCCTCAGAAACTGTGTAATATATTTCAACCAGTAAAGATGCACTGTTCATCTGCTTCATTTATTCTGCTGTAAATTCTTTCTGCTCAACAAACAATGCCATATGGAGGCCTATAAAAATATGGAAAATTCTAAGCTAATATCAAAGCTGTGAACCTCTATTACTTTCCAAAAATTTAGAAATAGCATGCTAGATTCTTTAAAGATAAAATTAAAAATAAAGTAACCAAGCCTTTGAAAATATACATGCTTACAGATAATGCATTTCTTTAACCTCCCACTTAGTGAAATATCGGTCTTTTGGCTTCTACTCTTTGCATAGGGAAAACACAGCAAAAGAAGTCCATTCTCTTACACATGACAGCAGTCTGCTTGGCTTGCAAAGAAATTTCAGGGAAAAGAACCTCCAATAAAGTCTAAACCTCATGTGTCAGGTAATAAATAATATTATTATATCTATCATTTTCTATGCATATATATTTAGGATTCTGGTTTTTTTCTGTGTTTTGACTGCCAGTGGTCGAAGTAAAACCCATCTGCTGAAGCCTCTGTATTCTGCATCTAACTGGAGATAACCATGGTTACAATGCCAAGTGCTAAGCATGAAATTGCAGGCTTTAGATGCAACAAAAATGATATATTGGTGCTCTGGCATACACAGACACATCTGCACCAGATCCCATATTTGTGTACTAAGAACAGACTGTTTACAAGATAAGGTGACTGACATTCTTAATTACAGATGCAGTCCTCTAGATAAAAGAAGATTATTATTTGTATAACCTGATTGCTTACTTGAATATTACACAGTGCTAGAGCTAATAAAAAGGCTTTAATAACTTTGAGACCAAGAGGGGTTTTTTTCTTTTTTTTTTTTTTTTTGTGGAAGGTACATGATATAGTTTCTTGCAAAAGAGATCTCTCCCAGTCTTTCTATACATATATAGTTTTAAAGTAAGTGAATATACATATTCATACATACATACTACACTCCGTAAAAGGAGAGCATGCAAGACATACTCGGGTATGAGACTTGAAGCAGAAAGGATTCTCATAATTTTTATGATTTTTCTCATCACTTGACAGAGAGATTGTCAAGCTGTAATTGAACACAAGCTCGTTATGCTATCACTTATAAATTAATTCTTTAGATATGACAAATCTAGGGGGGGAAAAATGAGTAGAGAGATAGGACAAGGATTGCTTTAGGTTCTTTTCCCTAATTCTTTCCTGCAGCATTTTGCTAATGAGATACACAGTTAAATGACATCACTTATGAATTATTTAACAACATGCCCCCTGGAATTTCTACAGTTTGAGCTTAGATGACTCATGAACTTGAAATCAGGGCAACTCTAGGCATTTTATATTTCAGAATATACAGAAACCATGTACGTGTTTTTCTAAATCCACTACTTTTCAATAACTAGATTATTTTTTTAACTTCAACTAGCTGGGGAAATTAACATGGTTTTGGAATGACAGTTGCAGAAAAGCAATCTGAACATGATCACTGATTTTCCACTAAGTTGTGGTGTTCAGGTAAATTCCTGAACATGAGATTCAGAAATCCTCGCATTGGAAAAAAGCACTCTGATTTAATGAATAAAAAAATCTGACAATTTAAGACACAAAATTTGCCCAGCTAAACTAGAAAATAACACTGTCAAATATGTATGTAGTTGTGCTTAAAGAGTCAAAAGTTCACTCACTAACTCCCATCCTCCAAAAATGTAGACATGTATCAATATTATGTTACTAACAGCTAATATTCAAGAAGCAGTAAGTTTGCTATCACCAGCAGCCTCTAAGCTGCTGTTTTCTCGTTAGGTGTGTTCATTCTCCAGGGCAAGCTTGGTTGCTTTATCAACTAAACTAACTATGAAGGGCACATCTGAAGTAAATGGCAAATTGAGATTCCCCAGCTGGCAGTCCTAAAGTTTGGAATCTAACAAAACTGGTGGGAAAATGCAGTGTAATATTCAATGAGGGCTCTGCCTCATAACTACATCTCAGATGATTCAGCCACAAGCAGTAGGGCAGCTTGATAAAGATTAGTGACACATGGAGAAAGCAAAAAACATTTAAAAAATGAAATACTGCAGGTTACTCTTGCACAGTGCAGTTCCAGAGTACATTTTAAGACCATGCTTTCCATCCACAAAGTAGCCTAAAAAACTGGCTGATCCACTATGAGGAAATTTCCTTCTTGTAGTTCTGATCATCAGGAAAGACTCCACAAGAAAGTGTCCAAATGCAGGGTGCCATTAACTTCCAAGGGCAAACACCCTCACAAAAGCAGAGCCAGTTTCTTCAGGACACAGCTTCTTTCGGCTGCCTGAAGTCTGAGTGTGTGGTGGGCAGTGACTGCCCTCTGCTCTTGACACTGGTGAGGCCACACCTCGAATCCTGTTTTCAGTTTTGGGCCTCTCACTACAAGAAGGACATTGAGAAGATGGAGCGAGTCCAGAGAAGGGCAAAGAAGCTGGTGAAGGGTCAAAAGCTCTAGCTTTATGAGGAGTGTCTGGGGGAACTAGGGGTGTTTAGCTTGGAGTGAAGGAGGCTTACGGGGGACCTGGGGGACCTTATCATTCTCTACAACTACCTGACAAGGGGGTGTAGTGAGGGGAGTGTCAGTTTCTTTTTCCAAGTAACAAGGGATGATCAAAGGAAAATGGCCTCAAGTTGTGACATGGGAGGTTTAGGTTGCATATTAGGAAAAAAATTTCACCATGAGGGTTGTCAAGCATTGGAACAGGTTGCCCAGGGAACTGCTTGAGTTACCATCCCTGAAGGTATTTAAAAGATGTGCAGACATGGCACTTAGGGGCATGGTTTAGTGTTGGACTTGATAGTGCCAGGGTAGCGGTTGGACTCAATGATCTTAGAGATCTTTTCCAACCTCAGTGATTCTATGATTCAATTAATTCTGTAGCCTTATTGCCTACATTAGCTGTTATTCATGTTCTTGAGATGTCTTGTGGGAGCTGTAGCGGGCAACAATAAAAATTGTCATGAACCAGTTAGACAGTTTATTCATCCTTCTGATCAGCTGAGACTGCAAATGTGTCCTTTGGCTGTGCCCTGAATTGAGGCATTATAATAAATATATACACGTACGCATTTCTCTATTGGTGAGCACATGCACATCCACACAGCAACACTATTTATGGCATCAGAATCTGAGTACAGTCCGTGGCTTTCAGGCACACTGATGTGATGTGGAATGCACTTGGTCAACAGAGGAAGCCGGGGTGATTTGGCATTGGAATGGGCTGCCCAGGGAGATGGTGGAGGTATGTAAGAAAACACTGGATGTGGCACTTAGTGCCATGATCTAGTTGAAAAGATAGTATTAGGTCATAGGTTGGACTCAATGATCTCAGAGGTCTTTTCCAAGGTAGTAGATTCTAAGAGAAGGTCACTCTAAACAAACCTACATCCTGAGGACCTCACTGCCACTGTCCGAGCTCGCTCAGCCCCGGCAGATGAACCTCAGGATTAAAGGGTGGGCTCAGTTCAGCGCACGCTGTGTCTCACCTAAAAAATCCACTGCGCAGGTTCGAAGGGTAATGACCTTTCCCAAATCTTTGTTCACGAAGACTGGCCATACTTGCCTAGATTCTGTAATTCTGTGAAAGAAAAGTACCTCACATAGTCAAAGGGGCTACAGTGCCATGGTTCACTTGACTGGAGAAACAGGAAGACATTAACAGGGACAAGACTCAATGATACAGCCAATCCCTTGTAGTTCTTTGCTCCTTTATTGAGGTGAAGTTAAAATCTAGCTTATTTTCTTTCCTAAAATTCATTAAAATCCTCATCTTCTCAACCTCTCGGCACTTCACTATGGTAGCACTGACTTTGTCTTTATTATAATAAAACCAATGGGACTTTATCCTGCAATTCATGTCTGTGGGATAGTTCATCCTATTTACCTGTTCTGACTGTTGCTTTTCTGGCAGACTGTTCTTTCAGGGTTTATCCATCCAGCTGGACATTTGTAGAGGGTCCAGCTCTCTGACTGAATTGTCATTGCTATGAGGCATTACTGCAATGTAAACAATACACAATCATTCATCCTGCTCAAGGCCAACGGGAGACTGCAAATACAAAATCAATATGACAAAGAAAGAAAGAGCAGTGGAGAATAAAGCTGCAAAGATATAGGTAAACGATTGCTAGGCTCTTAAACCTCAACGAGATGCTTCTTTATGACACACTGAAGTTGTGTGTATATAGGATGACAGAA